GCCTTTAAAACCAGAATATCTGTCCACTTGGTTTGGTGGACAATAAAGAGAAGTGTTTGCCCCTGTACAGCGGAGAGACATTTTCTCTACCATCATGACACCTAGGCTCTCATTTGGGAAGGGAAGGATGGTAGGGTTTGAGTGATTCTGTAGTTCTTTTGAAACAGGATGAACTTAATCATAATGAGTATGTGGATGAACATGGATCAAAAAAGGGTAGAGGGGCTTCCCTGGTGGCGCAGTGGTTGAGAGTCCGCCTGCCGATGCAGGGGACACGGGTTCGTGCCCTGGTCTGGGAGGATCCCGCGTGCCGCGGAACGGCTGGGCCCGTGAGCCATGGCCGCTGAGCCTGCGCGTCCGGAGCCTGTGCTCCGCAACGGGAGAGGCCGTAGCAGTGAGAGGCCCGCGTAACCCAAAAAAAAAAAAAAAAAAAAAAAAAAAGGGTAGAAATTACAAAGAAACTTTTGCTGCCTGTTATAAGACTATGATCATCAGAGAAATGATGCCTCAGACTTTTGGTATCACCAGAAAGTAACAACAGAAGATGATGTAAGGAAATCACAGCTTTTGAACATGTATTCTCAAAAGGAAAATGTTTCTCATGGGTGTAAAGTTAGATCAAAGAAATAAATGAGTTTATCAGGTTTGTGATCCAGAAACCTAGTCAAGAAATGCCGATTGCCAAGGCAATTATTTCACTTAAGGTGTTTGCTGTTGAGAAGAAGCATGGTGTCCCAGAATCTGAGTTCAAGGGCAGTTTCAAGTGGTCTAAGAAGATGATGCATCGAAGTGGATCATCCTCATGGTGAAGAACCTACCTAGCTCCCCAGCAGCTGCTGAACGAATTTGCTGAAAGACCAGTCTCTCTATAATGCTGCAGTCTAGCTTCAGTGAAGGCCAGGTTATATGCTGGATCAGATAGGCAGTTTTCAAAATGCGTTTTTCTGTAGCAGTGAACAAAATGGGCAAGAAGTGTATTATGAAGCCTATCCAAAAAAAGGAGGGAGAGAGAGAGAGAGAGGAAAAGAACTCACCACATCATAGGAACTTAAATCCTCCTCTCTTGTTGTTTTAAAACACTGTACAGTAGCCAGACAGAATGCCACCTGGAGAGAGGGTTTTCGAGTTCAAGAAGGAAGCTGGGGGAAATCCGAACTTTCTTTAGACTGGTTGATAATTATATGGGGCGCTTGCTTTTAGATTTCTTTTTTAATGCACATGGCCTGTCACAGGGAAGGTTTTGTAAACTCAGTAGTGACTTAGCATTTACCTGTTGAATAGTAACTTCAGAAGGTATGTTCTAGACATTGGTCACACAGGTGACCACCGGTGTTAAGAATCTGTACTGACTGGTTACTCACTGGCCATCATGCACTGGGAACATGTGGAAAAGTGGAAACTCCATTATGTTTTTGGCCTGGGGTCTCACCTCAGTACATGGGTAACGGCTTCCAAAGGTGCTGCAGGTAAAAAGCAGGACTGATGGTGACCCTCAGTGTCAGGATGACACAGAAGGGGAAGACTCAAGCAATAGCAAAGATTGCTAAGACTGAGAATAGCAAGGACATTTGTGAATAAGCATGTGGGGGAGGGGTAGCTAGTGACAACATTTGGTGTTTCATACAACAGGGTAAGTATTATTTTTCAGTACCTTTGTATATTCAAGCAGTATTTACCAAACTTTCTAATTATAAAGTAACTGAGACCCTTGTCAAAATACAGATTCTCAAACCTAGAATCACTTTCTAGGCAGGAGTCTAGGCAACTATTTTTTTATACATTTTTTAATTTAATTTTATTTTTTATACAGCAGGTTCTTATTAGTTACCTGTTTTATACATATTAGTGTATACATGTCAATCCCAATCTCCCAATTCATCCCACCGCCACCACTCCCCCCGCCGCTTTCCCCCCTTGGTGTCCATACGTTTGTAGGAAACTGTATTTTTAACAAATGCTCCAGATGAATTATATCCTTAGCACGTTTAGGAAGCACTGACTTAAGCCAATTCAGTAAGCCTTAACGTTGACAAATTGTTGTAATTTTTTAAATTTTTTATTTTATTGAAATATAGTTGATTTACAGTGTTGTGTTGTCATAATTTTAAGCTAATGTGTTAGCTTAAATTTAATGGAATTTTCTTGCTCAGGTGATAGATATTTCTATATCATGTGGCGGTAGAAGTATGATAAATATTAATGTTGACAGGCTCATAATTTTAGGGTTAATAGCTTATCCTTTGTGTGGAATTTGCCTGTCCTGTAAAGGGTATTAGGTACCATCTTGGGGAAATAAAGACACACTCAGAGCTAAGCTGCATTTGTGCTCCAGGGTGCAGGGTGGCGTCTGTCTCTATTCCCACCTCTTCTCTGTTTCTCCTGCCCCACTTTGCTCTTTTTTCTCCCTTCCTCTTGTTCCCTCAATTATCTCTCAGAAAGTATAACCTTGATTTACCAAAGTTTTTATCCTGAAACATGAGTTAGCTTGCTAAGTATACAATGTAAAGACTTGTAAGGTGACCGGGCCTCCGGTCCATCAGCACTTAGTTTTCCCTTCCAGGTCTTCATCTGAATTAGCTTCATGTGGCCCCAAGTGTCACAGCATCTTCACTTGGTTCTAATCTAGCCTCTTGATTTTTCTGTGCCAGCTGCCAAACTAGGTGGTCCTCCTACCCCAGTAGTTCCTTATCCTTGGTAATCCTTTATCCCTAGTTACTAGAGAAGTGTTTGCTTTTGTGTTATTTCTCTCTAAGTGAAGCAGTCTGAATACCTTCATCCTGCCTTATCCCTACAGTGAAATATAAAAGATTTTGAGTTACAGAACTGAAGCTAATATACAATATTGAAGGATCTTGATTTTCCTTCTATTTTACATCCCTAACTCAAAGGTGCTCTTCTAATTTGTAGGAGATTATCAGTCCTCTTAGGACATTCTTAGTATGTTTGGTATCTGTACTTTCCCATTCTGTCTTCCTTCCAGGAATGCATGTTCTCAAGGAGACTTTCCTCATCCAAGTTCATTTACGGGCATCCTCACAGTACTGCAACTTCTGTAGCTATCTTTCTGCAGTTCAAGTTATAAATAGATAACCACCTTTTGGTGGTTATTTTCTCTTTGGATAAAAATCTCATACATGCAACTGGAGGTTGTTTCTGCTTCTCCAAACATTGTTGGTCTTTTTGCTTTTAGCAAATCTGGTCACAGTTCCCAAACAAGAAAGAAATCACACTGTCCTGCATTTCTCAAAGAGTTTACAATCTAGCTAGACGAGACAGAAACATGTGAAAAGCAAAATCAGTATATCAGACTCTACCCCACAGTGCCACAGCACAGGAATGGTACAGACAGTAAAACCCAAGTTCCTGGTAAGGAGAGAGTTGATAATCTGTAAACTTGTAAACAGATCCAATTGCTTTTCTCTCTGGCAGCAAAAAAAAAAAAAAAAAAAACACGTTTCTGGCATCTTCTGAAAAAACACAGGCATAGCTGTCTACTTCTTTCTCTCATTTGCCTCACAAGTATGTCCCATTGTGACCTCCCTAATTCTTTTGCACAGTCTTGCTTAAATGTTATTTTTCCCGAGCAACTTTAGGTTTTCTTGAGGATATTTCTCAGGGTCCTGAGGCAGATAATCAGGACAGCTGACTGTTTGTTTGCACATTAAGAGGAACCTGGGATCACATCAGAGTCCAGGAACTTCTGCCTTCTAGTCATTAGAGAGAGGGATTTTTGTTCGCTCAGGCTCTGGGAATCAGAGTGGTTTGTTTTCCCCTCCGTATCCCGGTGTTGTCCTTGCAGGTCCCGCCTTTTTCCTGCTGCCTCATCTCCAGTGCCTCTCTCCTCTCCCGCTTGCTGTGAGCTGGCAGTAAGGTCAGCCACATGCCCAGTCTTACTCCAGGTGAAAGAACTTAGGCACAGGACACATGTATTGGCGAGATGAACCCTACCCTCAGCTCTCCTGTCCCTGGAGGGCCACAAGCTGAGACCTTTCATTGTCCGGGTCCTGTGGCTCCCTTTGGTTGTGCTCCTTTGCTGATATTAGACCTTTCTTCTTGGTTCTGTTCTTTCAGGTTGAGGTTCTTCATACTTCAGGGCTTGGCTACCACTCTTAGGCCATCATCTGTCCAGTTGGATTTCTGGAAGAGTAAGGGCCTTTCCCCTGAAAGTTGTGCATTCTTCCTGGCCTTCCCTCTCCTGCCTCCTATTTCACCACTTCTGTTGAAACTGCTGTTTCAGAAACCACATTCCCAACCTGTCAAGCCTCCTCTGCCTATGGACACGTTATTTTATTTCTTCTTTCTCCTCCTGTCCCTTGCCCTCAGGCCCACAGCGAAGTTGTCTTCTACTCCTTGACCTGCTCTGATCACAAGCTTTTGTCCTACCTCCCATCCTTCTGGGAAGTAAAGTTCTAAAAATGGTCTCTCATACCCACTCGCCACCTTGGAAGTCCCATTCACGAATCGATAGAGCATATTTGCATATTATCAGTAGTCATTGTCTGTCTTACCATACCACATTCAAAGTATTTAAGTTCGTGCAGTTGTGTTTTTAGTAAGAGCTTTGCTGTCTTGTTTGGCTGTTGGCCCTCAAGTCTAGCTTACTTTAGGGAAGCTTATGTCTCAGCCTTTACCAATAAGACTGGACTTAGACATGAATGTGCACTAAATAGCACACTAAAAAGCTATTTTTATGGCAACCGTGTTACTAGACCATGCAGATGAATCGGCCAGGCTGTTGGAAGTCGTTGCCAGAGCTCAGATTTGACCTTTGTGTTTAGAATTGTCTGTCTGAGCCTGACAGACATCTGCTTCGGTGGAGTCAGCACTGATGCCTGCGGTTCTTGTTCAGCCTCCGCAGCTGTTCACTAGTTCAGGATCTGCTTTGTTTTTGCCTGGTTAAAACCTGGTCAGGGTAAAATGTACAGTAAAGTATTCATCCGGAAAAATGTCTGATCAGTGTTCCTCTGTAAGTAAACCTGCTTTCTTTACTTTCATTTCAGATTTGTCCAATATGTGCGGCATTGCCTGGAGGCGATCCTAATCATGTCACGGATGACTTTGCAGCTCATCTTACACTTGAACACAGAGCCCCTAGAGATTTAATATCCTTTCGAGAGGCAACAAGGGGGAAAGTTGTTGGTAACATTTATCATTTCGATGAATTTTAAGGATGGCGTCCCCAAAGAGGAAAACTAACCTCCAGACTATCTTAGTTGATTTAACCTTTTCCTAAGAGTGACTCAGTGTTAAGGTGCAATTTCTTATTTCTCTTTTTCTGCGCTATGACTGTTACATTAATCATGCTCAGTAAGTGAAAGTTCCCTTGCTCATCATCTTTAGTTCGTTACCATCAGATTTTTTTTTAAGACAGTTTGACCAGGTTATAAGTCTTCAGGAGGGTGTTTTCATACGAAAGAGGAAAATGCTAATCCACCCCTGTTCTCTGTTGCCTCACCCTGTTATAGGCTGGATGGTGGGCAGGTGTGCATCGTGGGGCTTCCTACCCTTTTGGAGTTTCCTCCTCCAGAGAGAGCCATTTCCTGCCCAGTCTCTGAGTGGGATAGCATAAGGTCAGGTCCAGCTCTAAATTCCTTTCCCACTTTCATTTCTGCTTCCCCTCCCAAACCAATCTCATGACAGTTCCTGGCAGTGTTCCCTAATAATCTCCAAGAGATTACTGGCCCCCCAGAGTAAATTAATTTTGTAGACTCGGTGCTTCTGGTTTCAAGTGATGAATTATTTTTCTGAAACTATCACCTATTAACATAGAGTTCTGTTCTCATGCAATTCAAGAGCTAATCACAAACTTTCTCCCTGCCAGACTTCATTCTGATTCCTTTGCTTGCCTCCTGGCAATCATAATTCAGGCTTAGACTTATTTGAGGAAGAAACTGATCTGGTGGTTTTCTTGTCCTACAGGTCCCATCCCTTGCTCACAGTTCCTAATTTTCTAATTAGAAATATGGCCCTTTAGAGTTAGGGGAAGATAAGTGGAAACTAATGGAAAGAAAAATACATGGACCCATCCTGAGAAGTTAGAATATCAGCCTGGGCTGAGCCAGTCTAGGACAAGTACTGAAAGAACAGAGGAACCCACTCTTCCTCTCTCCTAAATGCAGGAGACACTAAAAGCAAAATGAGGAAAGCGGTGCTTGCTTGTTTTTGTTTTTGTTTTTGTTTTTTCCAAGAGAATATGAAACTCCAAATAGGCCAAGAATACTTTAGCCTTAGGGTCACTTCTCATTTTGTATAAAAGAATCCTATAACGATACCCAGAGTTATGCTTGATCCATGCTTCACTCCATCTTCATGGAGAAGCTGGGCAAATAACTTAAAACCATGCTGTTATCCTGCACTTTTTCAGCAAGTTCTAGGGCCTCTAGTGAAATTAGTATCCATTCAGTAGAATGTCCCGTATCATCTACATGCATTTTTGTAAGATTTTTATGAGTCTTTCATTACCAAGAAAAGATTAACTTATGCAAAACATAAGAATAAGAGAAGTCATGTGTTGCGTTTTAGATTACTAACAAGTATTATCATTAAGTTCTAGAAAGCAAAATGTTGGCATAGCAGTTTTCCTGGAAACATAACTGATTTCTCAGGAACTTCAAGTGCTACTGTGTGGTAATTTTGTTTGACATGAGGGAGTGGCTTGTTTCTAAGCCTCTTAAGCACCCAAACTTTTTTTTTTTTTTTTTAACTACTTTGATGGAACTCCTCCTAAAGTGCACTTTTTACACTTTTTAAAAGCAGAGTGTGATGATCACAACATCACTTTCTGCAGAACCCAAGCCACCGTCATACCACCGTGAAACAGTGTGCATTATGGTGGCGCCTGAGGGCTTCCTGGAGCCGCCACCCACCCTGTCCCCACGTGACTCCTGAACCATCAGCTGAAAAAGCTGGGAAGTCAACACAAAAATTAATCTGTATTATATAGCTGTCTGTTGGCTGCCTTGTTTCTTTTTTTTTTTTTTAATTTTTGTTAGAGTATGCTTGATTTACGGTGTTGTGCTAGTTTCTGCTGTCCAGCAAAGTGACTCAGTTACACATATACATAGATCCGCTCTTTCTTTAGATTCTTCTCCCATATATTGGCTGCTTTGAAAGAAGATCTCCCCTGCTACAATATCTAGTTCACCCAGTCACCCTCCCCACCCTCCTTGCACACTCACGCTCACCTGTGTGGAGGCAACACAGTGTTGTCTTCATGAGTTTTGGCAGCTTTTCGCTCCTCAGGACCTTCAGTGTAACTCACACGCAGGTGTGTAAGATGGTCGAGGCTGCTGGGACTTTGACTTCTTGATAAATGTGCTGTTACTCTCTCTGTGTCCACCTGTACAGGAAATTCAAATCTGGTTTTCTGCTTAGCAGCAGCATTGGAAGAAAAAAAAAAAAAACTTGACAGGTTAAAACTAATAGCCAGAAGGAGTCTTTTACTCCTGAATTTAAATTATTTATACTGTTCGGTTCTCATTACAGATGGTCATTGAGATTTGATTAGCCTGTATATTAGCACAGTTCTCACCAAATATAAAAAATTGCTGGTTATTACTTGTGGTTACTTCGGTATGAACGTATATGGAATTCAATACTGACTTGAGGGTGAGAGAATGTCTCACCCTGGGTGTCTGGCCAGGCAGTGCCTCTCACCTTGTTTGGCAGTGTTAGGGAGGAAAACTTTTTTTTCTCTTTGAAAACACACACACATACACAACATACACACACAGTATACACATACTCACATGTTGCTTTATATTTGAGTGTCTTTTTTTAGAGTTAATAGCCCTCATAGATATAGTTGTACTATTTGTATTCTAAATGAAATGTGCTATTTTAAAATGCTTATAATTTGGGAAATCTGCATGTCTGTCTTGCAAGGACTCGAGTGATTTTTTTTTTTCTTCCTATGAAATACTTCAGTTTTTTCCTTAACTTTGGAGTTATGATGAATCGAGTGGTGTTCGACATGTACGTAGAATGTTTCACCCTGGCCGGGGATTGGGAGGTCCTCGTGCACGTAGATCAAACATGCACTTTACTAGCAGTTCTACTGGTGGACTTTCTTCTTCTCAGAGTTCATATTCTCCAAGCAATAGGGAAGCCATGGATCCTATAGCTGGTAAGTTAGTTTCACGTTAATAAAGGAAATGGCTGGGGATGGTGGAGCTCCCTTTAAAAATTTTTGGTAGGATTTGTATTCTTAGTCTCTTATCACACGCCACATGTTCCTTGACAAAATTCGTCTAAATTTTATAAGTATAAAATACGTTTAAAGTAGACCACATAAAGTAGTTCATATTATTTTGGCATTTCTTTAAGTACTTAGAGGTATAAGAGAATAAGGAACAGTCAATGTTCTATTTGCGGCCTCCAGTGAAACCCAAGAAAGTCATAGAAGATGTCAGAGTTGAAAGACCTGCAGAATTTCATGGCTCAGCCTCCACAAGCACACAGATAAGAAAACTAATTGACAGGACTAAAGAATTAAGCTCTTCTCATGGAAGAAAGTCAAGTAGGAGTGTCTTGTCCTTGCCTTGATTTGAGAACTATATTATTGTGGAACATTCGTGTTTTAATAGCTTGGGAAAATCTCACTTTAAAAAACATTTGGAGGCTTCCATGGTGGCGCAGTGGTTAAGAATCCACCTGCCGGGCTTCCCTGGTGGCGCAGCGGTTGAGAGTCCGCCTGCTGATGCAGGGGACACGGGTTCGTGGCCCGGTCCGGGAGGATCTCACGTGTCGCGGAGCGGCTGGGCCCGTGGGCCATGGCCGCTGAGCCTGCGCGTCCGGAGCCTGTGCTCCGCAATGGGAGAGGCCACAACAGTGAGAGGCCTGTGTA